TATCGTGCATCGCTAATTAGCTTGTAAATTATATTTTTTAACATTAAAAATAAATGAATTTTTGATTGTTTGAGATGGCAACAACTAATTTCCTATATAAGATTAAAAGAAAAAAAGGTTTTCTAGTAAAAGTCATGTTATATTTTGCGGCTCTAAACAACTTTTACTTGGTCGAACTCTGGTCAAAACGGCTCTTTGAATATGAAAGGTTGCAGACCCCTGACTTAGAGGCACTGACTGCCATCAGTAAGAACTACAAGAAAGTCATCTTTGCAGAAAGGTTGTATTTCACTCCTACTAAACAAACTTGAACAGCCTATTGTCACAATATCTCAACCAGATTCAGATGAAGACGTTGTGATTTTATTTTCCTCACTAAGAGTCCATCAGAAATCAAGTACTACAGATTTTAAATCAGCTTTTTCATAATAAAAGAATAAAGCAGGTTAATCAACCAAACATGCACAAACAAACAGAAACACTCTTTAAATACTGATTTTTCAATATGGTGACAGAACTGAATGCTGAAAGCCCGACACTAACAAGATTATTTAATGCACACACAGTGCTAAGGCCCTGCTTATGTTCAACATCCCCATGCGAGGTGAAGACATCAAATAAAAGCTTTAACAGGAACTTTATCCTGTAGGTGTGTGTGTGTAAATATATGAGGGTGAACCCAAGACTGAAATTATATGTACCATGAGAGATGGGTGATGACTTGTAGCTTCCTTTAAAATGCCTGAAAACCAACAGAGAGGAGAGGGGAAAAGAGAGCTGGGGAGAAAGAGCAGGGATCAAATACGGGTGGGGAGGAAAGGATATATTACAGCTAATGGCTCCATGCAGTCAGACACACACACACACACTCACACACAGGGCGGTATGTTGGTGAAATGGGGCGTGATGTTTTTGGGCCCAGTCTGTTACAGGTGACTGCATCCTGAGTGTATGTGCATATGTCCAAATGGAAAAGCATAAAAGTCTCTGCAATGTCTCAAAAGTTAAGAGTCAAGAGTGTGTGAAGGTTTCTGAATCTGTATATCACTGAGGTTAATAGGTTTGAAATGGAAGAGTGAAAAACTTAAAAGATTTTGCCTATGCGTGGACACAAAACTGCATGAGTAGTAAATGTATAAGGCCTTCTAGGGACGGCCGGCAGGTCAAGAGTAGGTAAAAGGCTGAGAGGAGATAAATCTAAGAAGTAAATTCAAACAATAAAAGCTTCCTCATACTCTTTGATTCCCCAGCCACCTCTTCTTTCACTGCCCTTTGCTGGTTAAATAGAGACTGAAGCAGGTGGATCAGACGAGAGGTAATCAGACCAGACATCAGGGCCAAGATCATAACACTCTTGAACACAAAAAACATCTGAGTTTTTGTTGAAGTCTTGATATGAAGATAAAAAAAAAGGTATTTAGGTTTAATCATTAGTGTAATAATTAAACTGGATTTTTTCCCCCCTACAGTGTAAGAAATGTATGGTCTTTTTTTTAATAAGATCTCTTAAATCACGTTATCTGTTAGTGTTAAATAATTTGGTTGAATTACTAAAAACATTTGAAATCAAGGTATTTTTACTCAAAAGTTATCGTATATAAATCTCAAACTGGGACATCCTTGGTAAAAAAATTAAAGAAAAATTACATATATCATATATGGTATAAAGAGCTTATCTTTCACTTTGTAAATAATTATGAAAAAAATATTTCACAAACAACAAAACCAAGAAATGCCGTAAACCTGATGACGGATTGAGCTCAGACTGGATGTATAATTTCCTACTATAAACCTGAAACACCCTCCTTTGTTCCAGCAGCCTTTTTGTGTGTCCTCTTCTTCTTCTTGCCTACTTTTACCTTCTACGTTCCCTCGCTGCTTGTCAGTCAGTCTGTCAACAGAAGGCTTTTAACCTCTGTGCCCTGGAGGTCACCCTGGTCAGACTGGTTTAAGTGCTTTAAGTGTTCTCAGTCCTGTTAAGACCAACAAACAACACCAAAGGAGACACAAAGTAATCCCTCTTCCTCTCCCTTTTCTTTCTCTATTTTTTTTACTTTTTAGCTCTTAATCATATAGTGAAGCACATTTGAACAGGCCAGAACAAGAGCTGTGGGCATCAGAAATGGGGAACACCAGGTAATGACTCTGACTGACTTCTGTGTCTGTCCTGGTGAGACTGTTCAGACTGGTCCCAGTGTTTTCAGGCACATTAAACCATTAGCACCCCATCCAACAAAAACAAACTCCCTGAAGTAGACAGAAATCCCCTCCTCTACTACTGTAGCTTTATTTTCCTATGCAGAACTGTCTACATCATCTTTTTTTCCACCTTAATAAACTTTTTGCTTTTGCCATTTGTTTATCGCTTCAACATCTTTGTCTTCCAGTGGATTGCCTCAGGAATCTTCCTCTTTTTTAAATTTGTGAGCCTGCCCTTCGTCCATTTTTTACTCGTTTCTTTATGCATACTTAAGGGATTAAATACTAATAAGTCTTAAAACGATTTAATTTGACATGCTGGTAAAAAAAAAAAAGTTTAAAAATAAGCAATATATCTATTTTTAAATGAATGCCTACTTGTTATGTGCAGTTATCATAAACAGAAAGAAGCTGCTTTCCCTAATCATTAGAATATGACTTTCTAAGCAAATCTGCCTGCAACAAGAAAACAAAAAAGGAACATGTTTGTCTGGCACTGGTGCTGAAACCTGTTGATCTTTATGCAAAATTGTTGCCCATTGCTGT